GGCGGAGGTTCAGGCCCGGCTGGCGCCCAGTGAGTTGCTTCTCGCTTTTCTCGATGATGTGTACGTGATTGCCCGTCCGGACCGCATCCGCTCGATTTTCGACATGCCCTCGGACGCTTTGTGGCGACACGCGCACATCCGTCTCAATGCCGGCAAAACCAGGGTCTGGAACGCAACTGGGCGTGAGCCACCTGGCGTGTCAGACCGTTTTTGTTGGTTCGCGGTCCTTGGGGCCCCTTCCCAGCAAGGCCTTCTTGTGCTCGGCGCAGCTCCGCGCCTTGGCGGACAGTCACGGTGTCCTGCTCACGCGGCTTCTGGGCCTGGAAGATGTTCAGGCTTCGTGGTTTTTGTTGTTGTTTTGCTGCTCGCCCCGGTCCAACCATGTGCTTCGTCTGTTGCCGCCCGACTCCACGGTTGATTTTGCCCTGGCCCATGGTGTCGCCATGGGGGATTGCTTGTCGGCGCTTCTCCAAGCCGGCCCCCTGCCTCCCTCAACTCTCGTGCGCCCCTTCGCCGCGCCCGCCGCATACTAGGCTTCGTGGGCTGACAGCTTGCCGGTGATCCAACGGCAAGCCCCCGAGTTGTTGCAGCAGGTGTTGTCGGGCTTCGGCTCTTCGGCAGCTTCCGTGCCATGCTTGCGGTCAGCCGCAGCTGCCGCGCTCGCCGTGTCTGGCCCGCACTGGCGCCCGCAGTCCTGGCCTGAGCTCCTCCTCGAAGGTTCCCAGCCCCCCGCTCTCCCTGACGAGACTGACGGTCTCTTCGTCACGGGCGACCCCGCCCGTGGCTGGCAGCGGCCAGCGACTGCTGCCGTTGAGGACCAGGTTTTCCACTGCTGGAGTCCCAGCAAGGCCCTTTCGCCAGCAGTCCTTACAGCCCTCGCGACGGTCAGCTGTCCTTCGCCGAGTCTCTCCTTGAGGGTCGCGTCAGCGCTGGCCGGTCTGGCTTTGGCAGCGCTGGGCCCGACCTCAGCGAACTCCTCGCCGACTCGGCTTGCCCGCCGCCCCTCGTCACCCGTGTTCGGTGACGGTTCTTGGCGCCCCCGCCCCTCCTTAGTGCCGGCCCACGCCACCCCCTAGCTGTGCTTGTGTCCTAGTGCCCGGGACTCCCCCTTAAGCACGAGGAAAAAACCGAGAGGAAACATGGCAGTGCTCGATTTCACATATTTACACCCGTTAAAACAAGAAGAGTAAAGCTCGTACAGCTCGAAACGAATTACAAGCAAAAGGAAAAGCAATCAATAGCAAAGCTTACACGGCGGCCACAGTTTCTGCAAAGCACACTCGCAAAGTTGGCTCTTCGCAGGCAACTTTTCGCGAGTGGCCCTGCTCAACTGGCTCTGTGCAAGTTATCTCTGCACGAGTCTGCTCTGTGCTTTGCACGAACTGCGCCGCGCGATTTCTCACGAAAGTGGTCTGCGCAAGCTGCATTGTTCCAGGCTGCTGCGCGCAAGTTGCTCTCTGCAAGCTGCTGCGCGCAAGTTGCTCTCTGCAAGCTGCTGCGCAAGTGCTCTGTGCAAGTTGCTCTGCGCAAGTGCTCTGAGCAAGTTGCTCTGCGCAAGTGCTCTGCGCCAGTTGCTCCGTGCAAGCGCTTTGCGCAAGTGCTTTGTGCAAGTTGGTCTGCGCAAGTTGGTCTGTGCAAGTTGCTCTGCGCAAGTGCTTTGTGCAAGTGCTCTGTGCAAGTTGCTCTGCGCAACTTGCTCTGCGCAAGTGACTCTGCGCAAGTTGCTCTGCGCAAGTGGGAATGTACTTCGCGTACTATTTGTGTACTCAAAAGTTGCGATTTTCCAGCCGGAGCTGCGGGAGTGTGCTCCGCGTACTACGTTTTGTCCTTAAAAGTTCCGATTTTCCAGCCGGAGCGGCCTCGATTTTCCAGGCGCACTACGTTTGTACTTAACAGCTGCGATTTTCAAGCCGGAGCTGCCGCGGACCAGGGGGGAATCGAACCCGCGACCGCGGGATTGCGAAAGCAGGCGTCGCAAGCAACAAAATCGCACGGCGCCACAGCGAGAGCGCTTCAACACGCACGATCTCCGCAGAGGGTTCCCCGAGATTAAGAAGAATTCGCACGGCGCCACGGCGAGAGCGCTTCGACACGCACGATCTCCGCAGAGGGTTCATCCGGGAATGTCAAAAACGCAAAAAACCTCGAGTTTTTGCACCTCGACCACGCCGATCTCCGCAGAGGGTCGCGCGGGAATGTCAAAAAAAACGGAAAAAACAACCTCGGGTTTTTGCACCTCGACCACGCCGATCTCCGCAGAGGGTCGCACGGGAATGTCAAAAAAACGCAAAAAACCCCGAGTTTTTGCACCTCGACCACGCCGATCCCCGCAGAGGGTCGCGCGCGCGCACCGACAAAAACGCCAAAAACAACCTCGAGTTTTTGCACCTCGACCACGCCAATCTCCGCAGAGGGTCGCATTCCCGATCGTCGGCAACATCCCCACCCCGCCTTAAAAGAGATTCTTAATACCGAGCTCTTTCTCTTTCTTTCCCGCGCGTTAAGTACTAAACCTAACTTACTTAACCTAGCTTGCACAGCTGCTAACGCCGAGCCTCTACACCTAGCTTAGCTTGGCGGCCACAGTTTCTGCAAAGCACGCTCGCGCAACTTAGCTCTGTGCAAGATGGCTCTGCGCAGCTTGGCTCTGTGAAAGTTGGCTCTACGCAAGCTACTTTTCGCGAGTGGCTCTGCGCAACTGGCTCTGTGCAAGTTGTCTCTGCACGAGTCTGCTCGGCGCAATGTGCTTTGCACGAACTGCGCCGCGCGATTTCTCACGAAAGTGGTCTGCGCAAGCTGCATTGTTCCAGGCTGCTGCGCGCAAGTTGCTCTCTGCAAGCTGCTGCACGCAAGTGTTCTGTGCAAGTTGCTCTGCGCAAGTGCTCTGAGCAAGTTGCTCTGCGCAAGTGCTCTGCGCCATGTGCTCTGTGCAAGTTGGTCTGTGCAAGCTGCTCTGTGCAAGTGCTTTGTGCAAGTGCTCTGTGCAAGTTGCTCTGCGCAAGTTGCTCTGCGCAAGTTGCTCTGCGCAAGTTGCTCTGCGCAAGTTGCTCTGCGCAAGTGCTGCCGGAGCTGTGGGAATGTACTTTGCGTGCTATATTTGTACTTAAAAGTTGCGATTTTCCAGCCGGTACTACGTTTGTACTTAAAAGTTGCGATTTTCCAGCCGGAGCTGCGGGAGCACGCTCCGCATACTACGTCTGTACTTAAAAGTTGCGATTTTCCAGCCGGAGCTGCAGGAGCACGCTCCGCGTACTACGTTTGTACTTAACAGCTGCGATTTTCAACCGGAGCTGCCGCGGACCAGGGGGGAATCGAACCCGCGACCGCGGGATTGCGAAAGCAGGCGCGCAAACCACGAGACAACTTCCAAAGGCCATTTCGCGAGCAACAAAAATGCACGGCGCCACAGCGAGAGCGCTTTGACACGCACGATCTCCGCAGAGGGTTCCCCGAGATTAAGAAGAATTCGCACGGCGCCACAGCGAGAGCGCTTCGACACGCACGATCTCCGCAGAGGGTTCATCCGGGAATGTCAAACAGGAAAAAACCTCGAGTTTTTGCACCTCGACCACGGCGATCTCGTGCGGGAATGTCAAAAAAACGCAAAAAACCTCGAGTTTTTGCACCTCGACCACGCCGATCTCCGCAGAGGGTCGTGCGGGAATGTCAAAAAAAACACAAAAAAAACCTCGGGTTTTTGCACCTCGACCACGCCGATCTCCGCAGAGGGTCGCACGGGAATGTCAAAAAAACGCAAAAAACCTCGAGTTTTTGCACCTCGACCACGCCGATCCTCGCAGAGGGTCAAAAACAAAAACCTCGAGTTTTTGCATTTCGACCACGCGCACTTGGCTTTATGCACCTGGCTCGATGCACTTCGCTCTTTGCACTTGGCTCTGTGCACTTAGCTCTGTGCACTTGGCTCCTTGCACCTCGCTCTTCGCACTTCGCTCTGAGCACTTGGCTCTACGCGCTTGGCTCTTTGCACTTGGCTCTGCGCAAGTATCTCTATGCTGGTGACTCCATGCTGGTGCCTCTGTGCAAGTATCTCCATGCTGGTGACTCTGTGCAAGCTACTCTGTGCTAGTAACTCTGCGCGAGTATCTCCATGCTGGTATCTCCATGCTGGTGACTCTGTGCAAGCTACTCTGCGCAAGTTGACCAAGAGCTCCTGATATCTCCATGCTGGTGACTCTGTGCAAGCTACTCTGCGCAAGTTGACCAAGAGCTCCGCACGGAAGAACCCTTCGCCATGCTTTCGGGAAAAGTAACGACTTCAAACAACGCACAAATGCTTTCGGCAAAGCAATGCTCTAAGAACTGCAGCCGGACAAAAGCTATGACAGGCCTACCCAAACCACAAAACAAAACATACATACGTTGATTCAGGATCCTGGCTTAAAATGCTTTCAGGCAAAACGGAAAGAGCGTCATTCTTAACAATAGTGAGCGAGATGCCCGAAGGCGGCCCTGCAACGTACCCCGATTTGTTTTGCCTCGAGGACAATTGTTGGCACCTATGGGACCTCCATGCTCAATTTAGGTTAAGCCGAAGCCATGCTTGTCCTTGAACAATTTGGCCCTTTGCCTGTAATTTTGAGGCCTGGCGAAGGCCTCAATAAAGCTTAAAACATGCCTTCATTTGAAGCTGGCGCCCAATGCCCGCGGAGCATACTTTCTTTCATGTGCGGTTGATGCCTATGCGCTGACGTATTCCACTTAGCTGGCCCTCTTTCGATTTCGAGGCAGAGGACCCGGGTCTGGTCCAGGGGAGCAAGTAGTCAATGACACTTGCACCCTTTTTGCAGCTGATGTGAAGGCTAGTGCGAAATGCGTTTGCAATGGCGTACTGTATTTATGCATGCAAACATGTTGATAGACATGTATACATATGCATATGTCATATGTATACGCAATATACATAGATGTCTTTGTTTGTATTGGGCATGATGCTTGCGACAGTTCTTGTCAACTGGATGATTGTCAACGCCGCCACTTGCAGGTTTCATTGCAGCCTCAGAGAGTAGTAGCTGCGTTTTATTGCATGCTGGCCAGATTTGGAGTGACTGGGCCGCCGTCTTGACAGTGGCTGACCCGTTTGTCTTCGTTATGAACTTTACCCAGGTTACTGATGCTTTGAGCTGCTGTGCAGCACTGATGAACCCATGGAAGCTGCTCGAAGTTGTTTGTTGACTTGGTTGAAACAGCGAGTCGTGCACAACACATCAGATTTGATACTCCATTGATTCCGGCGTAGAAACAGGCCCTTTTCCAAAGTTCAGATCACGCTGCAGCGCTGGTCTTCGGGTCTGCGTGTAGGCGCGAATTGCCCAGGTTGCACGGCTGCCCTAGCCGGACTATCAAAGCAAGACTTGGCGAGACTGTCGATGTCCACCGGCAAGTCCTTGCCCAAAGATGCAGGCACTGGACGATGTTTGCTTCTCATACGGCCCAAGAGAAGCAGCACTGCCAAATCCAGCTACGCCCCTGTCCTTTCTGGGCAGGTAACACACCTTTTGCCCAAGGAAGATACGTCTAGGGAGGGACTGCCTTCAAACGCTCCCCGGCCATTTTCAGCAGCGCCCAAATGGTCGGTCTACTGACAATACTTCATCCAAGCGGTGGTTGAAGGGTTTGGCAACCCCTCCTAAAGCACAGTCAAATTCAATGGAAACAAAAAATCAAAATCAAAACAATCCGTTGCGACCCGTTTCCCCAGTTCTTAGTCGAATGGTGGTCCAGGGATGGTTTGGGTTGGTTCAGACCGGGTTTGGGCGTTTTGGATGTCTTTGGTGCGGATGAATTCGCGCACGGATTCGCAGGAAAGTTCATCGCATGCAGCGGGATCCCCGGGGCCCATTACCTTCTGGCGACGATGTCCGGGACTCTCAGTTCGTCGAGCCCCGGCGTCCCTTTCGGTCTTGGCCTGTGCCTCCCAGAGGCCCGGCTTCGGCGTCGGACTGTTGGGAAGCTGGGGGGTGGGTGGATGGGCTGGATCCTATGGTTCAACATGAAACAAGTGCCGAGCAGCGAGCGAATGCTTGGGTGCGTTCCTCTGCTTGACGTGTCGCCCCATTCTCTTGTGAGGCGTGCGGAGATGCAGACGTGCCGGCGATCCTGAACTCCCCGCTGGCGCTTCAGCTCATCCCGGACCTGAGCGCATTCTCCCTCTCCAACTTCCATGTGACCGACCCCGTCGCTGGGCTCATCCAGCCGGGTGCCCTCTGCTGGGTGGCAGTGGCGACTCTGGCGCTCCTGGGCGCGGCCATCGCCTTCTCCACTCTCCGCATGTGCCGGGCCCGCGTGGAGACGTCGCAGCTGTCCGGAGCCCCTCCGCGGGCGCCGCCACTCTTGAACCAGGCAGGGGATCAGTGTCCGGATCATCGGATCATCGGGTGCCCGGTTTGTCAGGGTTTTTTGTTCGAAACCAACAGTTGACCGAAGCCATGTGCTTGTCCAACTTGCAACAGGAGCCCAGAAATCTAGGTCCGGTTTTCTGCTTTGCATCCGATTGTCGGAAAGAAGGCGCGAGCGCCGAGGCGTTTGCGCTGGTTGGGCGCAATGGCACAATGACGAAGCTCATGGAGTGTCCGCCGTGTGGATCTGAGTTTTTTGGTTTGGGGGCCGGAGGTGAATTTGTTGAGCCTTGGGAAGCTTCTGGCTTTCTCCCAAACTTTGGGTTCATTGGGCCTTTGTTTTCCATTTCTTGTTCCCAGCTGGTACGAGAAACACAAAGACAAAGATCGTGTTTGGGTCTTTTTGGGTGAGGTTTGGGCCGTTCCCGGAAGTTCCTTTGGGTCTTTGTGTCCAGCGTTTTTCCATGGTTTGGTTCCTTTTTTTCGCCAGAAGGCATGAGAACCACTTGAGGTCTGTGTCCATTTGAGCCATACTCAAAACCCGGGTAGATGAAGGTTAGTAAGGGACACTCCCAGACATAGATATGTGCGGCCGCCTTTGTATTTCCCTACGTGGTTTTGAGTCAGCCACTGAAAAATACCGGGTTTTGAGCCAAGTGACTCGTTTTTTTTCTTCTTCCTCTCTCGAGACCTGGACATATGAGGCCCAAGCCTACGGACTGCTTGAACGGGCTCCGGGTGCTGGCGATGGCCTGGATCATCTTGGGCCACACCTTTCTGATGCCCGAAGGCGAAAGGGAGTCGGCCATTTCATTTTTAGGGACATGCGGAGACGGAAGGGGGGAAGAAAGAAACGCGGGCTTCTCCGGGCTTCTTTTGGTTTGCTTTCCCAGACGGTTCAGGGGTGTGGCTCCGTTTTTTTTTTGCAAGCGTTCGTTTTCTCTCCTGGAGGGGTTCTCGGGACAGCCCCCCTGCCATGCACGTCGGGCTTGTGGCAGGCGTGTCTGGCTACTCGAATTCCCAGGACATCACCATGAGCCGGTTCCTTACGTGACGGCCTCGGTCTGTGGTTGCCGTTTGCATTTGAAAGGTGCCTGGAACAAAGCGGCTGCGGAGCGCAGCCCCTGGTTGATGCTGATCATCCAAGCAGAACAGAGTATCCGCCTCAGCTCGAGTGCAATTTCTTTATGCTTCAGCGCGCATGGACTGAGACCCCGAGGCGTGGACACGTTCTTTTTCCTGCCGCTTGGGCAATGGATTGGGGCAAGTGGCACGATGAGTTTCTAGCAAATGGATTTGACCCCATGGAGGTTTTCCCTCTGGGTTTGCCTTCCTAACCCTGCAACTAGATATCCTCGAACAAAAACACCTCCCATGTGGCTACTCGCCATGAGTCCTAGGAGTGCTTGAAGGCTGAAAGGCCTAGCTGAGGTCGGGCTTCTTGCTGTCTCACCTCATGCCGCGAGCCCGCGGTGGGGGGGGTGACAGATGGCAGTCCAAGCCATTTTGGTTTTCCCTCCTACGCTATATAACAAGGGCAGTACTTTTGCTTCCACCGAGGAGAAAGAGAAGGGATTTTTTTTCCGGTTTTAAAGGAACACCATGAGGGGCAGACCCAAAAAAGAGAGTGTTTGGCAAGCAGACGAACTGGCTTCCTTTGGCTGGAAGCTGCTCCCCTGACTAATTTGGGGCTGGGGGGGGGTCCAATTTCTCAGGTTGAAGGAGCTTCAAAGCCGCGGCGCCAGCCCAGTGCTTGCCATTCTGCTGAGGCGCGGAAGCTATGGGCAAGGAATCCCGCTCCAGGGGTCTCAGAATCTTCTTTGGGAAGGCCCCCTTTTGGAAGGTCCTGGGAACCTTTTTCAACCACTTCTCCTAGACGTTTTTGTCTTTTTGTTTTGCTTTTTGTTTTCTAAACACGTGCCGTTTCGAGGGTGAAATGCTGCGCTTGGGCAACTTGACAGACACAGGCTTTGCCCATGTTATATATATATATATATATATTTCAGGGTATATGGATATATCTACCCTAGGGTTTCACCGCTATTAAACGAAAGGGAAGGACCCAAATTGGATGATGATAAATCCTGAAAGGTAAAGATGGGTCCCAACCATGATTTTGGTGGTAACTGTTACGCCAGGGACAAGTCTGAAGTGACACGCCATCGGCACCCGGTAGCAACTTCCCTGAAATTTCCTCAGGATGCTTGAGGCGAGGCCATCAGCCCAGGTTGCGGGCATCAAAGGCTGATTGTATGGGTCCATATATGAACCCTTTGGATTCGAACTAAGGGTTACGCTCCCACCAATTAACTTGGAACCTAGGGGGTCCTGGAAGACCATTTTCCTTTCAAAGGGATCCCCTGTCAGGTGGTTCAGTTCCAGACGGTTTACAAATGGGCATATACATTCAGCCTTTGATTGCAATGGGCCTCACGTTCGCCTGGAGCCAGGTACTTCCGACTCACGCCGAGCTTAGCGCTGGTCATGCTTCCTGCCACTGGTGGGCGGGGTTGCGGGCAGCCAAAAAGAGGGGTGACTGTTTTGGAGCCTTTGAGGAAACCATGAGAAACAGGTGTCCAAAGCCGACCTTTTTGCCGTTATGTCAAGGTCCCAAAGGGTGAACCTTTTATTTCTAGGTCCTTTGGGCAAGTGAAACCTAGCTTGTGGCAAGTTCTGACTTGGCTGGCCAAGGCTGGTGTACTATGGCATTTTGCCATATTTGGCGTCTGGCCCCTTTGCTGTGATCCTTCAGGATTCCATCTTCCGACGGTGCAATGGGTGCTCGGCTTGCAAGAGTCTTTTTTTTGATTCACCCCGCCTCCCCTGACCCACGCCCAAAAAACAAAAGCTGTTGAGGGCCTTATTTGGATGAGCTGTCCCAACTGGTGTCAGTGGAAAAGGGAGGCTTGGGGAAGATTGTTTGCCCCGCAGGTCCTGGTGGTCGGAGCTCACCTACACCATGTGTCTCGCACGGCAGCATTTTGCCCGGCGGCGATGTAGACTTCAGTTGTTTTTTTGGGCTAAAACATGTGCAGCTGGTTGGAGAGACATGAGGAACCCCCCAAAAAAGTTGGGGCAGATGGAAAATCTATGCCATGCGTGCCGAAGCGGTCGCGGTCCAGGTCGCGCGGGTCCGCGTTGGGAGTGACTGGCCCAGGAATTTTATCCCATTTGACTCGGACAAAGTGTGCATGGGCTGGACCTGGTACCTAGGATCCTGGGCTGCAAATCCATGCCATGCCATGTGCCGATGGGTGTCCAGAAAACGGACCTGGAATTGGCGGGGCTTTCCTTTGGGTTTCCCCTCGAAACCCACCGCAAGGCCGCAAGGGGAATCACTGTCCAAAAAGGTGTCCCTGAATGAGTCGCTGATAAGTTTGGCCCGCAAGGGTGCGGATAGTTTTCACACTTCCGGGCAACACGCTAAGGGTTGAGACCGAACATTTCCTGGGCGACCGTTTGGAGACACACTCTTCCGTTCGCATCTTGCTTTTGTTTTTCTCGCTGCTCAGGGATGGGAATGAACCCAGGCTTTGGCCCCCTTAAAGGAAACCACCAGTTGGATGGTTTATCTCGGGGTCATTCGAACTCCCATTCCCTGCACGGAGCACCAACAAGTTTCGTTTCCCGCGCCCGAGGAGACGACATGATTTTCTTTGTGCTGGGCAGTGCTCCTCAGCGAGTGGAGAAAATTGGAGACCACAAGCCGCGGGCGGTGTCGGCGGTCGGTGTGCTTGTTTTCCTTTGGGATGGGGGTCGGTGTGGTGGGTGTTGGCCTCTTTGAGTTGTTTTTGTAATGTTTCTTTTTTTTGGGGGGGAAAGGTGGTCGTTTTTGAACGCGTGTTTTGGCTCGTTTTTGAACGCGTGTTTTGGCTCGTTTTTGAACGCGGTTTTGCTCAAGTGTATGTGATTTGCAGCAGCACGGCCATTTTTCCAAGTGTCCATGCACACAACGATGA